ACTCGGCTGTGGCTTGCGTAATACGGTTGATGATATAAGCGATGCATTACCAACACTAAGGAACATACCATCACTCCCATAGTCTAGGGCCATTAAGGCAATGCAGGATTTATATCATCAACCGTGTCGGATCGGGCTTGCCGGGTTTTAGGCTTTCGCGGGTAGGGTCCAAAGTTTAGGGTTCTCAGCAGTATGTATATACATATATATACAGTAAGATATATACATATATGCCCTAAACCGAAAACCTTAAGCCTTATATTATATATATACACACATATGTATATGTGTACACATAGAGATATAGAGTCAAAACAAGGCTTTGGGACCCCCCGGAATGGTGTCCTGAGAAGCTGTTTGGTCTCTCCTTGAGAGCCTTTCCAAAGGGTTAGGGAAAGATTCGAAAAGATCGCCGTAAGCTTAACATAGGGTTTAGGGTTTAAGGTTTAGGGTCTGGGGTTAGGCATTTTGGAGGAGTCCCGAATTGGGCGATATAGCTGCAAACATCAAGGCCTCCTTTGTAGTTAGATGGGGCATGCTATAATGAGGTTATATGTGAATGGTCCTTCTATATATGGGTCTGAATTACGCCCCTCGCCCCCAAAATGGTACGGGACCCTTCTAAAAGGGGCAATGATTTAAGGAACTACCCTTGTGCTTCAGCTATAGCTTCTGAGAAAAAGGGTATGAGGCTCTCTGATATCTGGGTTTTGGCCTAGGTGGATATGCGCAATCGGGCTATGGCCAGTGACGGACTCAGTGTGGTGGCTGCGTGATTTTCGATCTGGAGGGCATTTTGGGGTGCAGGGCAGGTGGTTCAGTATTCGGTTGGGGCCAAGGTTTGGGGATCTGGACGAAGAGGTGATATGGGAGTTTGAGAAAATGAGGGGTACCTTATTCTGGGGTCCTTATAAGGATCCTACTATTTAGGGTACTTACTTTATTAGGGTCCCCTATTGTACATGGAGAGCACCCCTTTTGCCAGATTGGTCTGCGGCGCTTGTCCAGGCTTTATGTAGCCCCCTCCTCTGTCCAAAGCTGCAAGCCGAAATCCTGAAAACCTATAATCCCCTTAAGCTGTGTTGCGAGTTTTTCACTTTTCCGTGGGACATTCGAATTCATCTAGGACGAGGGTCCCGGCGATTTGTCTCTCTCTCTCTCTCTGCCTTTGTCTCTCCCCCTACTACAGACTTCTGCGTGTACCATGAGTGTACAGGTATTCAATGAATGAGCGAATCAGTGAGTGAACAAAGTGAGTGAAATGAAATCAGCGACATGCCTGAAACGAATGGAATTCACGACAAGATTTTCGGATTCCGAGCTTCAGCCCTACGCCGGAAGTACACCCTCAACCCTAAAAATGTACCCTGTAATCCCTAAACCCTAAAACGTGCGAACCATGGAATGCACGACGGCCTGGGCAAGGAGTGCAAGCTCCGAACCCTGAAATCGGTTACTATAGTTTAATTGCGTTTTGGTTCCTTGAAGGGCTTTGGAGTTCCGGGTTCCTTCAAGGGTTCAATTATTGAGGACCTGAAGAGGCTCCAACAGGGCTACCGCAAGGGTTCTCGGATATCGGAGAAGGCCTAAATGGGGTTCCGTATTTATTCTGCCATAGTAAGGTACCCCACAACCCTATGCGGCCCTGCTCGAATTATTAAGGCCCCCGTTCTGTGCCAGAGCAAGCCAATTTGAGTCCTGGAGGGCTTCCACTGATGTTAAGTGTACTTCTATGCAATATCGTTGTTTGCTCCCTACAATGATGCTCATAACATTTTGTGCCAGCCCCACTTAGTATGCCCTAAACCCCAACACCCTAAACCTGCCTTAACCCCCAAGTAACCTGCCTCTTTAAGGACCTATGCCAAGAAATCATAATAAGGAACGTTAAACCTGTAGGTTTTCTAGGGGTCAGGCAAACCCTAAGCCTAAACCGAAGCGCCCAAGCACCTGTGCGCTCTTTGGAGGTACACGAATAACCCATACCAGCGTGAGACTCAGCACCTTCTTTCTGTGAATGACCTGGCTTAGGCCAGGATGATGGAGAGGAATAACCTCCTAAACCCCTAAACCCTACACTGGTACAATAATCAGCATCCAGTGGGTTTCACTACGGAGTGGTTATATGCGACCTACAAAGAGATCTCAGCCAGGGCTTCCTATCTGAGCATGCTAAAACCCGAGCCCTAAACTCTCACCGTCTAGGGTTGAGGGTTTAAGGTTTAGCGTCTTGAGCATTCCACTCAAGAAGGCTTCGATGCTTTGAGTGCAATTCTGTTCCTATTTTGAGACTTAGAAGCCCTAAGCCCAGATATGCCCCAACCTCAGCACAACAAGCTCCTAATCTCTCAAACAAGCCCCAAAACCAAAAAACACCAAACACTGGATACATCAAATCCTGCATACCTAGGACAAGCAAGATCCCACCCTAAACCCCCAACCCGCAACCCTTACACCTTGAATCCTAAACCCCGGACCACAAGCCCTTGCGATGAGGTGAAGAGCTAGATCCATCTTGGTAACTTCTTGGCCGTAAACTAATCTTATCAACTTTTGGGGTTCTTATCAACTTTTATTCCCTTCGGTTTTGGTCCAGTGAGGTAAGGCCCCAGACCCTTCAGTGGCAAACGGCTGACACATTCGGCATTTAGGGCTTAGGGCGTTGGGTTTAGGTCTTTTGGGAGCGTTTAGATTAAGCTTAGAGCGAGGCTTCTTTGGGTTCAGTAGCCAATTTGCTTCACTTTGGTGTTCGAGCTGGAGGGCCCGCTGGGATTGCATTCAGGAAACTGGTAGGCTCAACCACTTGAACACGTAACTTTCGGCCTGGGTGAATTCTGTTTAGGGTTCGAAGAGGATGCTATGCCTTCATTTTCATGTCAGTAAGCTTACTGATCTTTGCTGTCGGCATCTGATTCGAGAAAGAGGTGTTTCGCATTGCTAATGGTGTCAGCTTGCAAATGCAAGAGGCGTCTCCGAAAAAGCCGTCCATGCATGCCAGGAGTTGTAGACGTGCAGTTGAGGGCTCGTGAATGACACTATAGGGCTCTGACGAGAGCTAGTCTCAGCTCACTGCAGCCGCAGGACCTTGAGAAAGCACTATAGGAGCTGCTCGGCAATTGAACTGTTCACCAAACGGTTACTGCTTGTGAACCACAACTAGAGTGAGCATCAGCACTGCTACAAGCGAACGGAGATGGTACTTTGAATGCTTATGGTGATGACAAGGGTCAGAACATTGCGGCTGCTGCCAACGATTGATGGCGATGGCGATGGTGTGGAGATCATGATGTCTGAGAGAGTGGATGCGGATGGCAGTGATTAAATTACCGGAAAAAGCCACTTTGCGATGGTCATGGTGATGATTGTGTTGCTGCTGCTGCTGCAGCTGCTGGTTACAACAATTAAATTACCACTAGCACTATGTCATATAGTAACAGGCAAAGTCTATCCCGAAACGTTCAAACCTGAACCGCTTGCAACCTTGAAATTACAACCCTAAACCCTAAAACCCTAAACCCTTGACATATTCCGTGGTTTGAGACTCGACTGGTCACTCCTTGACCCCACTACTATACTTGAAGGATCATGGGACTTAGTAAGTAGGGTTATAAGTACCTTAGTTGGGGTTATAAGTAATTATAAGTACAGTTGCCTTAATTATAACCCTAATTACTAAGTCCCATGAGCCTTTAAGTAGGGGCGAAAATAACTAACTATGCTATTTTGGTGGTTCCTTATTGTCCTCATAGTATACTGGGCCCAAGACCCTTTTCGAATCTTTAAGGCCCCTATTTTGGTGAATTCTAGCAATTCTAGTATAGATCCCTCAGAGGTAATTATGCCTTATAGAGCCCTTTCGAGAACAACTTAAACGAACCCTATTCTAAGTTTTAGGCCTACATTACTTGCGGTGGTCTTTGGGCAACCTCGGCTCAAGTTACCGCTGCGTCGGTGCATCTCCGCGCCGCAGGTTGCGTGAAGGAACCTTCAACTCCCTGGCGCTTAGCTGGGAATGGGGGAATGGATCTTTTTCATAGTTGGGTAACATTTTACAGTTTTATGGGTACTTAAACCCAATAAGGAATAAAGATGTACATTTTACATCCTATCCCAACCATGAACTAGATTATTGGGATTATTTAGGGGCTACTATAGGGATCCATTTCCCAATTCCCTACTAAGCACCAGGAGAGATTTCAGGGTTTCGGTTCAGTTCATTATCCACATACGAGACCCCTAGGTTGATTAAGATATACTCCCAAACCCCTACATAGGGTTTAGGAGTCCTCTACAGGATTTAGAGTGTAAGGTCCATGCTCCAGGGTTTCAGCGACAGGCGTGACAGGAGTGTCCTTGTTTATTTTTTTGTCTTGGTCCTCCTCGCCAAAACGGAACAATAGGAACATGGGGGCCCTGATTTTTCAGAGGTCATTGTGGGGGAACCTAGAGGAAGTTTGGGTGCAGGGTTTTGGATTAGGGCCTCACTTAAGCGTCAGATTTTGCGGCTCAGAGGTTGGAGTTTATAGGGTTAGCGGTTTAGGGTTTTAGGGTTTAGGGTCTTACAGTCTTACCGGCTCCAGGGTGTGGAGTGTGGAGTTCCAAGCGCTTCGTTGGTTTTGTTAAAGGACTGCACGGATAAGAATGACCCTGCCAATGAAACACCTTCAGGCCGCATGCATGCCTTTCTTGCGTGACAGCTGAGACAGCACGGGTCAGCAAGGAGGAGAGGAACAGCGAGAGAGGGGCGAGGATGAGAGAGAGAGAGAGAGAGTGTGTGTGTGTGTGTTGTCTTGCCGTGTTTGTGTGCAGACATGCCATCGCATGTAAGCTTGTTGACTTTTTGCTTTGTTCTCTGACATTTCGCCGCTGACATGTTCATGTGCTTGTGCATGTCTCTGCGTGTGTGTGTGTGTGTCCAAGTCTACGTTGTAATGCCGTCCATGCCCTGTGTTGTATTCTCTCCAGTGCGCCAGGGCGGGGCACACGATCCCGGCCCAGCGATGGCCGTGGCTTTGGCACTGTTTCGGAATGTTTCCTTCCTTCTACCGCTCCTAGTCTCCCCACCCCTATCCAGTGTCTGCTGAAGTGTAAAATGGAAGTTTACGCAGGCAGTAAGGAGTGCTACCGATGATGATATAAATCCTGCATTACTTTACGGACTCTAAACTATGGGAATAATGGTATATTCTTTATTATGGGTAATGCAGGATGTATATCATCAGCCGTACCAATACTTCCGCCAGGGTATACCCCAAGGGTAGACTTTGGATTGTTAGTATTTCTTGCGACATGGAGACTAATTGTAAAAAGGGTTGTTTGACAATACCTTCAGACCCATAGTCAGTTGTTTTTGATATCTAAGTCAAACTTATGTCAACTATGTCTATCTGTGTAGATCTACATGCCCAAGTCCAGAAAAGCTTCTAGCTATGTCTATATAAGTTTCTACGCCTAGAACAGCATATAACTAGATGGAGCACTAAACAAGCAATCAAAGAAACAAGCGAGCAAACAAACAAACAAACGAATACTATACAGGTAGATAGATAGATAGATAGATAAGTAGATAGATAGGTAGATAGATCGGTAGGTAGGTAGCCAGATAGATATCTGCATGTGCATCCGCATCCTGTTCTTGCACGAGCTGGAAGAGATAAGCTAAAGCCTTGCAGGCTGCAGCACCCCAAGGAAACGACGACGATTCTGTTTTCGAATTCCATGATGGACCTATTCGGCGGGACCTATTCGGCGGGGCGTAGAAAAAACCGTCGAAAGAACGAGCCGTAACGTCTATCAGCATCCGGAGCCGAGACTTTCATCAATGGGCATGCACAAACGAGACTCGGAAGTGAAAGTCATATAAGACAGTAGGATCGGGTTTTCGTGGACCTTATTGAAAAGAACCTCGCAGCCATGCTTTCTGTGTTTGGAGCATGTTGGCAGCACTTGGCTTCTAGAATGCAGGTGTCTTTTCGCACCTTCCGCAAAGACAGCATCGGAACCACAAAGCCAGACACCCTAATTCCTATTGATAAGGTTCCCGCAAGCGCAGCCGCGATCCAGATTATCCTTTGCCTCTCAGCATTCTGCTTGTTCGACCTGTGATGTTAAATCCATATCTAGAGAATCGGGAGGACTTACGAAGAAATGAAGCCCGGGTTTGTAACTCGGGTCCTTACCGCAAGCCTGAAGCCATGAAACCTTGCAGAGCTTGCCGGCCTACCTTGAACTCCTAAGCCTGAACCGCGAGAGCACGCTAGACCTTACCCAGAGCCCCATATAGTAGTTCCCTCTAGGGGTTAATATATCGAATCCTATAAGGTAATACCAAGCAGGAACTACTATGGTGTTTTGGGTACACCTTACTGCTCCATGGCAGGAGCAGCGCGCAGCCGATGACCTCTACCGGAAAACACTCCGTTTCCTGGTCTCAGCTGGAGTCCCAGTACGGTCTAAGGGGGTTTTTGGCGAGTTGGGGTTTAGAGTTTGGGATTCAGGGTCAGTGGATTAAGGTCCCTGGCTCGTTTAGGAAAGGCAGGCAAGGTGATACTGTTGAGCTTCTTTAGGTCCAAAACTTTGAGTTTGCCAGCGCCATCAAACCCCAAAAGCTTATACCGCGAACACGGCTTCACTTCACCCCACGCATCCTTGAGCACAACTTCGCTCACCAGGTGGCTGCTGAGATAGCGTATCCGAAGTGCCAGCTGAGAGGAGGCACAGGGTTAGAGTGTAGGAGTTTGTAATGATTGCCTTATGGAAGCACCACTTACAGACTCCTCCTGACCCACCCGATACTCCATGTTGGGTATTGCGAGGGCTGAATAACTATGCAGACATCCTCCGTTGTAGTCCTACTAACCTTCTCCACTGGCCACTAGGTTTGTGTCCATCACTTACCTACCCGCCCGACAGTCTGGCCGGTCATCATGATCATCATCTTCATCGTTGCAATGAGCATCATCTGACACCATCAATGAAGCACCTCCACGTTCATGATACTCAGCATGATGCTCTGGGTTCTACGGTTCTCGTACCATCATAATGACGAATATGAACGTCACCCTCATCATCGCGGTCATGGTATGGAAGCGCTACGGAAGCATCCTCGTGATTTAGTTGGACTATCGGCGAGACTAGCGAGGAATCACAACATGCTTCAGCTTTGGGATTAATTGCACCACACCCTCTACCCTAACCCCTAAACCCCGGTGCTCTCAGGGGTGTCCCCAAATCCTAAATCTTTCTAAACTCTAAACCTCTCTTAGGCCCTTAGGCTATAAAGCCTTACAAGATTAAAAGCTTACAACCCCGCAGCTGAAACCTCGAAAGCTCAGAGTGTGTAATTAAGCGGTGGTGAACCGGGTCCGGTCATGCCTCTCACGCGCTGTTTAGGGCTTCAGAGGCGTATAGAGTCCATAGAGTTCAGGGGCTTGGCCTGTAATCCCATGCGCTCGAAAAAATCCCAATCCCTCAACCCTAGCAGTTTAGAGCGAATGCATTGGGAGGTCATACGCTCGGCGATGGCATGCAGCCCAGTTGTTTGTTGCATTTTTCGTGGCTTCGTTGTAGATAGCTGGAACTGACACACGAAGCCCTTCTATCTACGGGCTTCGAATCCTTGCGCCGTGAACAACTTCTGTTCTATAAATGCTTGAGCGTGTTTCAGACCCAGGAATCACACAATGCATCTTCGGAGAAGGATTGCGTCGGCTCTAGGAGCAAATGCCGATGAGCTCGAAAATTCCCGTTTATGAACATTTGGTGTAATATGTGTCAGATTTTAGGGTTTAGGGTTAAGGGCGTTGTAGATGTCGGATCAAGAATTCTGGACACAGGGTGTTATTTCTGTGGGACGTGCTGCGCTGAGGCTTCCTCTATGAGCTGGAAGGAGGCGAGAACACAGACCAAGAGGCAACGCAATTGCGTTCAACATTGGGGCCTTACGATTAAAGTAGGATGTGGGCTGTACTATACTACAATTATATTGGGGACTGCAAGGAAATAAACATGAGAGGGTCCATGAGAGGCATCTCGTTCTGCCGTCTGCAGAGCTCACTGTGGATTGGACATGACAATATCGGGGCGCTGAAAGATAAGACGAATTCTTTGCCGACCCCAAATCCCAAACTCCCCGAGCCGAAAGTTCCGAGACCCGACCCATGTTGGGATACATAGCCCAAATGCGACGAAGCCACAAACCGTCAACCCTCACCAAGATCCATGGAATGACCCCTGAAACCCCAAACCCTAAATCCTAAACCCTAAACCCTAACCCTAAACCCTAAACCCTGGAATTGTGGACCCGAGCAGGTTGAAACCATACAGAAGACACTCACCGACCTGGTCGAGTCTGGGGATGCCACTGGGCTTTGGAGTACCAGACCAGGACCCTCCTTCTTGGAGGATCATGGGACTTAGTAAGTAAGCTTATAACTGCCTTAATTGGGGTTACAAGTAGAATTACCCTAATTATAACCCTAGTTACTATGTCCCATGATCCTTTAAGTTGTACCCTCAAAATAGGCGTATGTGGTCCCAAATAAGGGGCATTTAGGGTCTAATATCCAAACGCGAGACCGACGAAGATCTTTGGGGTACTTAGAAATAACTTTTAATCTCTGGTTATTATAGTCCCTATCAAACAGCGAGAATTATGATTTTTGCTAGGGTTCTAAGTTCAGTATAGTATCAGATGTTACTACCCTTTTCGGGGAGCTGTTACTTACGGTCCTTTAAAGGGGCCATTATGAAATGGGACCTGGTACTTACCTAAAGCTTTTAGAGGACACCCTTATAAAGTAAAGATATATATTGTCTTCTCCCTGGTTACCACCCTAAACCCGAAGCCCTAAACCCTAAGCCCTAAACCCTAAACCCGAAGCCCTAAATCCGAAAAACCCTAAACCCTAAGCCCTGAACCCTAAACCCGAAACCCTAAACCCGGCCCTGGCTACTTCAAAGCCCAGGCCATCGAGCCGGTGACCAAGTCTTGGACGGAGGCGCTGAGCTGCCTCTGTTCGCATGCACGAGATACATTAGACACAGCTTATGCGCATAAACTATATTCCATTATATAATTATATACATAATATATGTGTATATATATATATATAGGTATGTGAAGGCACTTGTATATCTACGTACACAGTAGGTATGCAATGAACGGTATGTGCAAGGAGAATAGACGCCTTCAGTTTCGCATCGGTGACACTTCAACCCCACAACATGTGGCGTGTGTTCACATGTCCGGGTCTTTCGTTGCCCAAACCCCGTTGACTTCGAGCTGCACAGTAGGGTTTCTAAAGTAATTTGATTCGGCAAGTCTCCCCCGTGTAGTCCGTATAGGTACTTAGGACTCTTTGGGACAGGCCCACAGCTACTTCAAGGAGCGGGGCCTTTCAGCCGCGGCGACGCTGCTGACAACAAGGACGACCGCAGAGGCACCGGAGGTTTTGGAACAGAGCTCGACTTAGGCACTAACCTCGACCCTAAGAAACTTACCTTTGTAGGATGCCGAAAGAAAAGGTCCTCACTTGAGTTCTTAAAAATGGAGGTTATTGGGGTTAAGCTAGGCACGAAGGACCAAGCCTAAAAAGTTTAAGACGAGCACAGGGATGAAGCTTTTGAGTTGAGGTCGAAAGGAGGAGTACCGGTTGGATAGGAAGGGACCGAGTGTTGGGAGTAAGTGTCTCGGGGTGTTGCAGGCCGGTAGGACCCAGACCTTCCAAAATCCCTTAATTAAGGAATATACCTTAATTCATATCAGGGATCCTATTCTAGTTTAAGGTATAGTCCTTAATTTAGGGATTTTAGAAGGTCTGGGGATTGAGAGCCTGCTGGAAAGATGGCTTTAAGGGGAACTCCAGAAAGTTGGAATATGGTTTCAGGGTAGGATACCCTTTGATTTACCATAAAGGGTTTAGGATAATCATCTTCCAACTTTCTGGCTTTTACTTTACGGGCTGTGGCTTTGGCGTGCAGTTCTCACCAAAACTGAATTTCTTCTCTTGCAGCTTCTGCTAGCGAGGGCCCAATTTCGGACTTTGAATGGTGCCACTCTTGCTTTATGATTTTTTTCCTCAACTTAGCCTCAAACCCCGAACTCCAACTGAAACGTCAAGAATCGAAAGCTTTGCGGCAAGCCTCCAAGCCCAAAGCCCTAAACCCCAAAAGCCATTGGCCTAAATCCACATGCCTCGACCATCACAAGCCATGAGCCCGAAGCCTCCTCAACCCTACTATAGAATTCTATATATATAATTATCAACATTATGCCTTACGGATCCCACAGCCGCAACCACCTTCTGGCGTGAGCGAGCACAAGACATCGCATCACGACCGGAAGGCTGTGAGGTGGTATGCCTTGTTGATGCTAACGCCAGACTGGGCGACTGCCTGTCCGACGCAGTCGGAAGTTATCATCAGGAGGAAGAAGGCAACGCAGGACGGCTCCTCCACGACTTCTTGTTTAGGGCCGGTCTTTGTGCGCCTTCCACATTCGAGATATGTCATAGCGGGGAGTCCGGCACCTGGCGTGCGCCACATGGGCAGTGGCACCGCATCGATTACATCTTGACTCCCAGTAGCTGGCTTGAATTTAACATTGCCTCCACAGTCATCACTGAGTTCGAGGTTCTTCAACTCAGAGATGATCATAGGCCAGTCAAGCTTCATTGTTCCTTTTCCAAACAGGCTCCGCCCACTTCCTACTCCAGCACCACACGAAAGGCCGTCAGACCGGACCGGCCGCCTGACAAACTGACTGCCTTCACAGCCGCCCAGTCCTTTGGGAGGATACCTTGGCAGCCTTGGTCTCTTGATGTCGATCTACATTTTGAGACGTTGTCAGCAGCTTGGTGCCAGACCGGCATAAGCCTTGCTCCCCCGGCCCACAAGCAGCCACAGCAGCCTTACGTAGCCTCAAGCACTCTGGACATTATTGCTTATCGTAAGCAGCTCCAGCTCTTCCTTCGCCAGGGTCGTGCAGAGGTCAGGCGTAGGCTGCTTTTGCTCGGATTCGCCGCCTTTGTGTTGCACAGCCGACAAGAACAATTCACCGATCAAGCACGCCAGCGAGCCGAACAATGGTTCATCGATACTGACTACAGCGATGCGCTTGCTGTCGCACTCTTCCGTTGGTGGGGAAACCGCCTACGTGACACAGTTGCCGCTGACAAGCGCACCTACCTCCAGAGTTTGGTAGATGATGCTTCTAAGGTTGGGTTAGGGCGTCCAAAAGACCTTTATGCTGCCATCCGCAAGGCGTTTCCAACAGCTAAGTCGTCCCGCCGTAGCTCGCTCACTCCTTTGCCTCTCCTTCTTGATAAGAACGGGGACCCAGTCAAGGACCCAGCAGCCAGGGATGAATGCTGGAGACAACACTTCGCAGCTCAAGAGGCAGGAGTCCTTGTAACTGAGGATACTTATGTCGAGCATTCACAAGCCCAGCGATATTTTTCCAAACAGGTCTTTGATCTTGAGACCATACCTAGCCTAGCAGTTGTCGAACAAGTACTGCTAGGCCTTCGCAATGGGAAAGCGGCAGGAGCTGACGGCCTCACCTCGGAACTGCTCAAGATGCATCCAGCCAACTCTGCCCGGCGTCTTCTACCTATTATCATGAAGACGTCAATGGCGCTCCGAGAACCAGTATCTTGGCGCGGAGGAGATCTCATTTTACTCGCCAAGCGGGCGGGTAAAAACATGACTTGTGATGGATTTCGTTCCATCCTAATTGCCAGCATCGCTGGCAAACTGTATCATCGCTGTGTTCGGCTTCAGATCCTGCCTTTTCTCCAGAAGACACAGCCAGATTTGATGGCAGGGGCTATCGAGGGAATTGGCATAGAGGTTCCAGCACTTGCTATCAAGTCCTTTATACTTTGGCAGCAAGGTCTCCGTCGTCCTTGGGCGGTTGTTTACTTTGACTTGCAGGCGGCGTACTATCAAGTTTTGCGGCAGCTTGTAGTACGTCATTCGGGCTCAGATGCAGCACTGCTGGACCTTCTTCGTCGCCTCGATGTGCCCGCTCACGCTGTGCACGAGTTATATGCCAAGCTTGCTCAACTCGCTGCTCTCCCCAACCTTGGGGCCAGTGATCACTTGCAGTCAATCGTGTCAGACGTGCTTTCCGGCACGTGGTTCAGGCTCGATGGCCGAGCTTGCCTTACGGCCACGGCCAGAGGAACTAGGCCAGGAGACCCACTGGCAGACGCCCTGTTCTCTCTGACTCTGTCGGCATATCTTAAGTCAGCATTAGGCCAGCTTGCCCAAGCTGGCTTACTGGCTGACGTAGATTGTCCAGCTGACTCCCCCTTCTGGACAGAGTCTACGGGTCCGGTCATTGGGGCGCCTTCTTGGGCGGACGATTACGCACTTCCGCAAACAGGCCCCACTCCGGACATCCTAGTGCAAAGGGTGACCGCCAGTGTCCGCGTCATGGTTGGTCATGCCCGAAGCTCGGGCATGACAATTAAGTTTGGCCCGGATAAGACAGCTGCCCTTCTTTCCTCAATTGTAGATAGGCAGTCGTCCCCCACCATTCAGCAGAATACGGATGGGAATTATTTTCTGCCAGTCGATGATGCATGGGGAGACAAGGTTCACCAACTTCCCATTGTAGAAGTGTACAGGCACTTGGGAGGAATCACTACCTCGAATGGGTCGCCAGCGCCCGATTTACATTTCCGCTTTGCCAAGGCATCAGGTTTTGTCAAGCCCTTGAGCTATCGGTTGTTCAGCTCACCCAAGTTCAGTATCGCGGTTCGCCGCACGCTGCTGCGTTCTTTGACACTGTCAAAATACGTTCACACAGGAGCAGCGCTGATCCTGGCTGCAGCCGTTCATCAGCGTCAATGGGACAGGCAATACATCGCTCTTTGGCGTCACCTTTGCAGGCGAACGTCGGACCCTCGCCAAGAACACCCCTATAAAGTGTTAAGCCTTGCTCGTGCCCCTTCTCCTCCTTTAGCGTTGGCCAAGGCTAGAGCACGGTTTCTTTGCAGGCTTTTCGAACGAGGTCCCAAGACCCTGCTACGCATCCTCCACGCACATTGGCGTCAGCACCCAGCGTCGTCCTGGCTAAGCCAATTACAGTCTGACATTGTCTATGTCAAGCAGTACTGTAAAGACTTAGAACACTTCCTACCCCATGGCATGGAAGTAAACAGTCTCTTGGATGCTTCCGCTGACACCCCGACCTGGTGGCCCCAACAAGTGGCTAAAGCGGAACGCACCTTTCAGGTAGATCTGCAGCAGTGGCTCAATGGCTTTGCCCGCTGTCCTCTTCCCGGCGCTGTTTCCCACAAAAATTATGTCTGCCAGACCTGCGGCTCTGCTTTCCAGGTGCGCAAGCATCTGCATTTGCATATGGCTAAGGCACACTGCATGTACAGTCCAGCCAGGCACTACACTTTGTCTCCTGCGTGCATCGTGTGCCATCGCTGGTATGGGACCATCAAACAGAGTCAACAACATCTCAAGCAGTCGCCCAAATGCCTCTCAGCTGCGGTACATCGTGCCTCCCCTTACGTACAGTCAAATCCTGGAGCTCGAGGCCCCTGAAAAACAGCAGGCCGCTCGGATCATCAAAGGGGCATGGCAAGGCTTCACCGCAAGGCCTCCACCTGCCAAGGCCCTCGTTGCCTTTGGGCCTCCACTTCCCAGGGCGGAAGACCGTCTTGCAGGAGAAGATGAGGAGTCCCTCACCCTCGCACAGCTCTCTCGAGTCTTTCGGCCATCCGCTGCCAATGTTGAGTGGATTTCTCTCCATTTGGATGGCGCTAGCAAAGAGGGCGCACGTGTACAGACGAGGCGTTTTTGGCAGTGTCGACCAGTTTCGTTTCACCTGAATTCAAGCTAGGATTTTTGGGACGCGCCCTAACAAGGGCTCGACAGTCCGCACAGAACAGAACAGAACATTATGCCTTAGCGTTCCTTACTTTAGCTATACACTACAAGGGAGCCCGAAACCCTAACTTTTCTAATTATTATAAGGCTTATTAAGGCCACTACATTACAGCCTAAATACATTCTGGTCCTCTCCGAGGTCGCGTGCTATCAGTGCCGAGGAGTCCTCCGACTGAACCTCTTCCCGCTGCACGAACGCGCAGCTGCGTTGAAGGCTCGGCAGGGTTAGGTCATAGGAGGCAAAAAGGGGTTTTAGCCTATGGGGGTTTAGTAGGGATTAGGGTTCCCATAATAGGGTTCATAATAAGGAATCCCCACCCCAAGAATCTTAAACCCCCCTTTTGGCCTCCCATCATTTGGGCTCTGGGCATAGGGTTTAGGGCTTAGGGTTGCGAAGGAGTGGTGGCCTACTAGCGATCTGCAGGGTTCAGGGACGTAGGTTCTAAATCAGGGTTTCTAGAGACGGCATGTATGTGGGTCTAGGAACAAACCGCGCACTTACCCAGTGGTTGAAGGAGAAGACTCTCGGCATTCGGAGTTTTAGTCGAACTCTGCTTCATCCCGAAAGCACCGATGTAGGCTAGTGAGCCATGTGAATGAAGGGAGGAAGATCTTCGACAAAGATGTCCAGCGTGCACCCAAGGCTTTGGCTATGTCGCCGTTAGGATGTGAGGCTGAGGGGTTTAGGGGTTGAAAATTTTGCAGGAAGGCGGGAGCAACTTAAGCTGTGGTTCGGAACTGCCATCTCATTTTGCCCCGTGCTGATTTCGCAGATCCTCCGCAGGGAAAGACCCAGACAGCCGCTACAGGGATGCTGTGAAGATAAGGGTGCATCCGCTGACCCTCAGGAGGAGCCGTAGCTCTGGACATATGACCGACGAACCCTACAGTATAAAGCGACTGCAACTATCCAACATTTATAAATCCCTGAAGCCCAAAAGCCCTAAGTCCAAAGGCTTGGAGGACATAATGTAGTCGTCATAAAGCTGCGCCCTCCAGAATCTGAAACTCTTGCCAGCGAAGATCCCTCCTGGTGCAAGTCGTGCGCGCAGTAAGTCCTCCTAATTGAGAAGCGTAGTGCAGGCCGTAGGCCCTTCTGTGTTGAAGAGCCATGGCAAGGGGGATTCCGAACCTTACGTAGACCCTGAATCCCAAAACTTCCACTCGTCCCAACCCTTAAACCCTTAAACCCCTTAGCTCCCAAACCCTTACCCCCTCAACCCAAATCGCAAGCTGCAAACAGGGTCGAGGGAAGAATCCTAGGACCTACAATTACCTGGACCCTAAGGAACCTGCCTGTCTAGGGTTCCCTAATATGATTTCTTTGTATATGTCCATAAGCAGGTAGGTTACTTGGGGTTAAGGCCTTTGGGGGGTTTATATATAAAATCCTTTAAGGTAATACCAAAAAGGAACTACTATGGGGCCTCTGGGTACTTGTAACTTCAACCCCGAAGTGTTGCAGCCACCAGGCGGGCAGCTATGCCCTGATCCGCTGCAAAGAGATGAGCGGCTTCGCACGGGTCCTAGGTCTACGGCGACGGTTCTTGGGTCCTTATAAGGGATCCACTTCACAGCTATTCGGCTGTAGAAGGCATACAAAGTTCGATCAGGGGTTTCGGTCACAGGTTTATTGGTGTAGGGTTTAGATGGTTTTAAGGATTCTGTCTTGACGGGAGTTGCGCTTTCTTGCTGTGGAGTGTTGGAATGGACAATGGACCAAAATGGGGTGCTTCAGGTGCTGAACTTGGGATCATCCTTTCAGTGTTGGGATTTTAACAGGTTTCTGGGACTTACTGTTTACAGGGCAGGGCTTCAGGGCTTCGCGAAGTGCCGCGTCGCAACGCAACGATGTATCGTCCTGGGCATGTTACTAGAGGGGCATGAATAATTGCAATACTATTTTGGGTGTTCCTTATTAAACGTATAGTATAATGGGCCCCCAAACCCTACTCTCATGATTAAGGCCCCTATACTAGTCACCATGACAGTTTTCGGGATGAAGGTCCGTGTGGCTCGGATCCGGGGATGTCGTTCGTGTCATCGGGCCGTTTCCGGCTGCCTGGTGCTGCAAGTGTGTGTTCAGCCCTGCCGTGAGCAAGAAACGATAGGTTCACAAAGGTCTCTAGAACGAGCATATTTTTTTGGATCCTTCGTGTGAAGACCCCAAATCAGGACACTATTTAGTGTTGAGGACTTTGGGCTCCGGGCTTCGCGCATCGCGCTTGAGAGCTGTTTATAGGATACCTATAACCATGTATTGTATACTTTGGCTTTAAACAGGATCATTGAAGGCACTTTAGTGTCCAAGTTTCCATATAACATATAGTAACACGAACTCTTCGGGATGGTATGCATGACTGTACCAGTGCACCGTACTCTAACTCCCAGAGTCCGTACCTCCTAGGCTCTGAACCTAAACCCTGCACTATGCTCGTTTGTTACTTGCTCTTCCTGACCGATACCATCCTATACATCTGCCCCTTAAGCACATACAGTTTAGAAGCTGCCCCCACCCTGTAATAGTGACTATAAGGATTATATTAGGGCTCTACATATTCCTATTATACCACCATAACAGGGTGGGGGCCCCTTCTAACATACAGTTCAGGACTTCTTCGCCAGGCTGTGGGGGCGGTTTAGGATGCAGGGTTTGGGTGATCGACTTGAGTTCGCAGAGGTTGTGGCCTACACAAAGGAGATCCTGTACAAAGCTCAGCAGGAGACCCAGAAGAAGCCTTTTGCTACGATGAAGGGGTGACATAGACTTAGGGGCCCACATGAGGTACTCATAATTGGTTCTTTTGGGCTTCATATTTGTTGGGTTCCGTCCCGTATATGCTGAATCGACCATGTGGCATGTTGGCGCGTCACAACTGGGTCACCTCCTACTGCTGTCACAGCGCACGGGTTCTGGGCCCTAGGAACTTAAGATAGGCCAACAGCCAGTGGAAGCCTGGCAACATCCGTACCTGGTTGTTGGGCAGATATTCATATAAAGCCGCATGAAGTCCGGAATCAGGCCGTGACTTAGTTCACCGGGAAGCTCATGTACACCACGGAAACCTCCAAGAACCCATTTCGGAATTCCAGCAGCGCTTTGCAAGCCTTTCTGGAGTCAGCTTGGAAACCGAAGGTGCAGTACCCGTTGTTGGCAGGAGCTTTTTCGGAGAGGCTTGAGTGGTGTTTCCTTTGTTCTTCTTGTTACTGCTTGATGGCATCATTCCACGTGCTGCTACTTCTTGTTATACTATCCTTATGGGAGGGGGCTCCAAGGGGGGTAGGCAACCTACTAATCCCTAGTTCTCTCCAGTGCTCCCTAATGCTCCCTTCAGGTTTTTCTTAAGGATCCCTTGTACCCTCCCCCCTTGAACCACCCTCCCTTAAGGACCCTACAATCTTGCTGCTCTTGGTTCTAGATGATCCGAAAGGGCTGGCCTGGCAAAAGCCTAAACCCTAAAGCCCTAAAACAACCCTATAAATCTAAACCTGGAGCCCGGAACCCCTCGGCCTGTGATCCTTCAAGTAAACCTGACATCCAGGGTTCATATACCCTACCATTATGGAATCAGGTACCACCAGACCATCCCTATTATAGGTTTGGGGGCCGAGTTGAATGTTTATGGAAACGAGGCCAGCTCTCCTTCAGTCTCACTCGGATCACAAAGCCTTCTGCAAGGGCTACGAGGCCAGAAGGTTTGGGGCATAGGGTTTGGGATTGAGCGTTCTGGGTTTTGGTGTTTATGGCGTAGGGTTGGTTGAATATAGAGATATCTGGCTGGCTAGTATTGCTCGTCCTTCAGGCTCGCTGTTGCAAGTCTGCTAAGCCCCAGTTGAATTACGAGGCTTTCGGTCCAGGCTCCAGACTGAGGATGTCAGGGTTTACGGGGTTTGCTTAGGGCTAACATTCAATTTAGCGGCTTGGGGATGAAGGACTCAGCTTTTACGGCCCGGGCATTTCGGCTTGAGATGGGTGAGGGTTCAAGACTCCGGGCTTTGGGCCTGGGTTCGGCGTTCAGGGTTTTCTGATTTCTTTGCGGTGGGAGCTGAGACTTTGGAGGTTCTGGTTTCAGCTGGGTTTCAAGACTCCAAAGTCTCCACCTGCCCGATCCTTGTCAAAATCTCAATCCCCAATCTCTTTATTTGTTTGAGGCCTGAACAAATGCTCAATAATTCCTTGTTATTACACAACTCCTTCACGAACTTGTACAACATGTATCCCAAAGCCCTACACGAATTATTCAGGCCCCTAATTACTCTAAACCACTAAACCGTGGCTGCGATTGGAACGACGGACCGTCATTTCTTGAGGTCCGGTCCCGAAGCAACCGCAATTTCGTCCGGTACACAACCCCAAACCCAACAAAAGTTGAAGGGTTCAGGGTTTAGGGATTTAGGGGCTTCGGGTTTAGGGTATCCCAAAGCCCCGAACTCTTCACTTCTAAGAATCCAAACCGGGTGTTCACAGGATGGGTTAGTTAAGCAGGCTGCTACTCATTGTACCCCGTGACCCTGCAAGAAAGAAAGCCCTGAAGCCCGTAAAACACTAAGCACACAAAGGCCCCCAAACCTCCACCCAAACCTTAAAAGAGTGAAAACCCGTGTCGTACCGTGAAAGGCGAAGCCCCTGACTCAAAAATTGAAGATGTGCCCAGAAAGAGCCCTGAAAGGAACCAAGACCCCTACAGAAGCCCTTGATTGAAGGAACCCTAAGCCCTAAACCCTAAGCCCTCGTGCGAACCGTTGCAGCTAAACCCTAAACCCTTCACCCAGTTGAAGGCAAACCTGCCAGCGCTTTTCGAGAAAGGGTGCAGTGCAACTTTAACAAACCTGAAAGGTCCGGTCGGTGGGGAACCTCAACAGCTTGCAGCAAGTCGGCAGAGGGCGCAAGGACTTCGCTCTGGCCTCGAGGTTTAGGGCTTTAGAGGTTTAGGGTACAGGGCTTCGGGTTTAGGGTTTAGCGTGTAGGGCCTCGGGTTTAGGGTATAGGGCTTCGGGTTTGGGTCAAAGACGGCAGGACTTCTGTTCACTCCTAAAACGTCCCATATATGGTGCAGCGCTGCTGGGTCCCCCCTCCCTCGCCCTCGCCCACCCCATGGTATCCCCCCCTCCCCCCCTGCGGTCTCTGTGGTTTCTATGTGATGAATGACTATTCTGATTTGGGGAACAATCCCCCATAGCCTACTTAACGGATCATGGGACTCAGTAACTAGGGTTATAATTAAGGTAACTGTACTTATAGTTACTTATGACCCCAATTAAGGTACTTATAACCCTACTTACTAAGTCCCATGATCCTCCAAGTAGGATGGGAGGCTGGGCTCCCCAGTAGCACTCTTTTGCCCTTGTTCTTTGCGGGTTCCCATACTTAAACCGAAGAGTACCCTTGTTGTTGAGGGGCTACTGGGGAACCAAGAAGGTATAAGGGCTCCTTTAAGGGCTTTTTGTTCAATGGGTTCAGTTACTAGCATGCTCGGGAGTTTGCGGTTTGGTATTGATGGAGTTTGGGGTTTGAGGAGCAGGGTGTGGGCATGCTAATTAGGGACAAAGGACAAAGGAGTTCTTAACTGTTCTTAGAGTGTTTCTATAAGGGTCTTACAGCGGTTCTGTGAGGGCTTTCTGATTGCTCTACGAGTGTTTGTTGGAGATTTTGAGGGTGTCTTGACAGTCTCATTTCAAGGTCCGCTTACAGTCCCGTGAAACAGTAGAATAAAGGCGTTGCGATGAACACTGTTTCCTGCCTGGCCTAAACCTTGCTGTCATAATACTGATGGGGTGGTGACTATACTATGACTGCGATAGCGGTGTTCACCCTAAGCGCTTGTTTGCGTACTCTTGGCATGAGGCACGAACTATGCTTTCCTCTCGATGGTTAGACAAACTAGAGCTTGGAGGTTACGGCTTTAGGTCTGGAAGGTTTGGATTTACTGTAGGGGCATTACTCATTACCTGTATATTTTTTTGGGGGTTCCTTGTTATACTTACAGTATAATGGGCCCAAAACCCTATTCTGATGATTAAGGCCCCTATATTAGTTGTTCTCGGGGGTACTTGGTCGGTCGGGCCGGCGGTCGCTCGGTGTGTTGCCTTGTTTGGAGTTTGGGTTGTTGTTGTGCTGAGCATGCACATGTGTCATCATGACCATCACTGTCCGAGTTGATGTCTTGCATCTACATAGAGGGGGCATTTCCTGAGCAACTCTTTGCTCTGCTGCGTAGCTCGATTCAGGAGGCTTTGGATGACCTGCTTCTGAAACGGCCCGCGCTTTGTCATTTCTGTACAACTGTCGTCCCTAACTGTAATCAGCACGAATGTGATCGTCGATTTGATTTTAGTTAAACTCCTCAAATGCATGGCTCCATCCACCCCGCCATCTTCAGTGAGTGGCCGAGGTCTTGGCTTGCGAGTTCCGGCAGGAGACGAAAATCGCCGAGATCGTCGCCCAGGTGCCTGCGGCATGCTTTCGTCTCGCTCAACTGACTTTTGCATAGACTTCCGGCGAAGAGATGTCGGGATTTCGGAGAGTTCCCTGACCGTGCCGATACTGCAGAAGCAGCAGCGAGAACAGCAACAATAAGTACCAAAACTAACACCACCGCCGCCGCCGCCGCCGCGGCCACTGCCATGTCCACTACCAATACCACCCACTACTACCATGCTTTCTACTTCCACTTCTATTTCTAGGACGACGATGACTACTAAACGACTATTGCTATAGCCAGCCAGCTCGGTTGGCTGACTGAGTGACGAATGAATATATCGCTCAACGATTTTTACTCACAGTGACAGATAGTGCAGCTGACCCCGAACCCTGTACCGTAGCGTGTGTCTGTGCGATTTTGGGCTTATATTGGATTCAAAACCAAGTCTAGGCCCCAAGCCCAAGCCCCCTAGTGCTCCTTCCTGGTGGGATTCCAGGGTCCTAGTCTACTAGTCAGAGGGTCCAAAGGGTTTAGGTTGCAGGGTTGTCTGTCGCATTCCCTGCGAGCCCCGACAGGTCAAAGTGCGGATGGCAGAGGGCAGACAGGTGAAGGCGTCGGTTTAGCTTCGCTTTGATGCCACAGGCCCCACTGAAAAACCCAAAGCCTAATACAAGGACCCGAATAATGTGTACTACTATTCCCGTATAGTAGGTACCTTATTCAAGCTAGAACCAGATTAGTATACCCACCTCTTGGTCCCTTTATAGAAGAAATACAAGACCCTGGCCCGGGCCAACCCAAACAACAGGCCGCACACCCTGAACCCTGGACCCATGCGCGGCAGATTTCTTGCGGCTATTTGGTGTGTCTGTGTTCCTTTGTTGTGGTGGGCATGTGATCGGTTTCGCTGTGTTGGAAGCGAGGAAGTAGCTGAACGGAGTTCGAGTGAATGTCGTTCAGAGGCGAGTGTGTTACGGGTTCGCGGGCTACAAACATAACCAAACATAACCCCTGGACGCCCTAATCCCTAAGCGCAGCGAGCAAGTTCAGCTGCTGCATGACACCCGACGCCAGTTCACGGAAGTGGTAAGATCCTTACAACCTCAAGCCCTCCATCCCAAACCCTCAAACCCCGTCATGTGCGGTAGGATATGGCGTTTCATGACACTGGTAGTCGCAGGTCAGAGAGGCTGTGCCTATCTAGACCTCAGAGTAACAATCTGAGACCAGCACGTGTAATAGAGGGGCCTAGATATAATATAACTGATTTTGGTGTCAGCTTATTGTCAACATCCTACTGCAACTATATGTATAAAGTACATCGTTCTATAGCTGCAGTTCGAGAAAGGGACCCCGCAGTCTTATCCTAGTTAGTGAAGACCCTTTGCTTATTTGCCCCTTAGGTTACACCTGCTGGGGAGGATGGAGAGAAGTCACTGTGCCAGGGACAACTGCTTCCATTCCGGGCTTATGACTACGATTATGATCATGTTTTTCGATGAGGATTATGATGACCATCGATAGTCTTTTGGTCACTATGATTATTGTGATCATGAGCTTTTGTGATTCGGGCTGTGACGTCATTGGGGCTCGTAGGTCGTAAGCCCTAAACCCTTCAGAAATGGGTTCATGTAGGGTCACGGTTGTTCGAAATCCACAAACCATAAACCCTGAACCGTAACTGTATCTGGCTGTGTGGGTGATGATCTTTGTGTGTTCGACGTAGTTATCCGACACCTGAGTCCTAAAGCAGCCGAACTCCCTAAACCCTAAACACTAAACTTTCATATGAACCTCGACTTGGGAGATTTAAGCAGTCAAACACGGGTAGACGGTCGGACTTCTAGGACACTGAGCATAAGTAGCCCCCCCCCAAGTCAGAAACTCGAATCTTGAGAAATCACCGAAAACGTCTAAAACCCTGCAACAACTGCGCAAACACCCACTAAAACCCTAGAAACCCCGATTCTGCAGAGTTTGGATGCCCCCCAACCCCCAAGATGTGCAGGTCATTTGCATCGCCGGGCCGACGTCTTCCGGTAAGACTACCTTTGCGACGAAGTTGTGCCACGATCTGAGGTCTGGACTTGGGCTCTATGCCTTTAATGGCTCCTCGGTTCAGGGTTTAGGGTAGCCTGGGGCGTAGGTACAGGATCACAGTGCAGAGTAATTGAAGCGATGCAATTGGCCTCGGAAGGGTTGAACCGCGGAGTTAATGCAGAACAGTCTTGCATCTTGGTCGTGAAGTATAATATTGGGGCCTAAATGATTACCAATATTATTTTGCGGGGTTCCTTATCATGATTATAGTATAATGGGTCCCACATCCTACACAAATTATTAAGGCCCCTACACTACTTGAAGCTTCAAATCCGTAGATCCGACATTGATAGCAAAAGACCTAGAAGCCCGTCAAAAGCCTTCAAAGCCCTGAACAAACTTTAAACCCTGAAAGCCCCGACCCTGAAGCAACAAGAAACTGGGAAGGGGCGGTTCTGCACGACTTTCAACTTGCTCTAGGAGGATGACAGGACCAGGTAAGTCGGGTTATAAGGACCTTACCGGGGATGAAAAGTATCTAGTACGATTATTACCTTAGTGAGGTTTTCTAAGAACCATTGCTATTTAAGTGTGTCTCAAAGCTCGAGGGACCCATTTTTCATGTCGTTTGGACCCAACGACCATAATTATACTGTATGGAGTACGTGTTTTGGGTTGCAGTCTGAGCTTTAGAGCAGGCCCTTCAACCCCTAAACTTAGCAGCCCTCGCAGTGTAGACTCTGCAACCAGCAACCCGCGACCCCCACTAAATCACGCCCGGACGCAAATCCTAAACTTAAACCCAGCCCGAAAGCCCCAGAGATTGAGGCTGCGGGGATTAGAGTTTGTGCCTCTACTGCCACCTGGGTTCCCAGGCTTCATCCCCAAATCCGAGAGGAAACCTCAAGCCCCTTCTGCGGCCTTCAGCCATGTATGAAACCCTAAACTCTGTCCTACTAGTACTGCACGAAACCTCAATCCTCACAAGCCTCCACCGTTATATACCGTTTAGGGCTTTTGGATTCTTGAGGCATGTACCTGCAAAACAACGGCTTTGTCGCCAAGCCCTTGACAGCAGCGGGCCCATCTGGGGAACCCCAAACCCGAAGTCCCTCAGTGAGGTTACTCAGGGTCGCTTAGGTTTGGGTTTTGTGTTTAAGTTTTACGGGTAACCCTAAGTTAGGTTACGAAGGGCCCGGCGGACGCAATAGTTGGCAAGGCTGGCAGTCGCGCAGCTTAGTATTTGGGGCAGTAGATGGTTGTTCGGCACTTGGGCCTTTGGGGCCTTAGGGTATTCCTAAACCCTATAGTTGAAGACGCCCGCAGAAGAGCGTTGAGATGTTTTGAAAGTGGAATTGGAGTAGGATTTGTTAGCTTTTTGCTGCAAGGTCTGTGGCCATAAGCATCTGGTTCATGGGGTTCATGGGTTTTGAGGTTTTGGGGGTGGGGTATGGTTTGAACGAGGTCGCATGTCACGTGTCGCATCGGTACCGTTTGGAGTGTGGAGAACCAGGAGACGGGATTCCTGCAACAGCTCTTGTGACATTGGTAGCAGAACAATACTTAGGGGTACTTAGAAATATTTTCATTTCTGGTTATTATAATCCCTAAGAAGCAGCTAAAAAAGCGCCTTCACGAAAGTGGCTAGAATGGCATGCACCATGCGCAATGCATGTTGGCTGCGTGCCAGCCAAGCTAAGCAGAGGAACACAAGTTGGCAGCGAGTGGCCGGCATTGTGAGACGCACCAACGACCCTTGCGTGCCTGGACTGCTGTTGTGGAAGGGTTCAACAATCCCGCGCTGTGCAGAAGAAGTGTTCGCTTCTTCGGAGTCTCATTTACCGCAGGCCCTCGTTCGGCGGCACAGAGAGCAGTGGGCCAGGGAGGGGCGACAGGAGGAGGTGAAAGCCAGGAGTCGCTTCATTTTTTGGCCCCTTCTAGAGCAGAAGGCGATGCAGCAGGAGGACAGTTCCCGAAACCCCCGTCGCAAGATCTAGAATCTAGACCCCCTCGCTTGCACAGTTTCGCAGCGCGAGCAATAACCCCACATGGCCCTAAACCCTAAACCCGTAAGCCCCTAAACCCACGACATCCTAAGCTCTCAGCCCTACACCCAAGAGCCTGAGCCTCAAGAAAAAGCCTAAGTTCTGAACCTTCAACCCCAGAGTGCATAACGTGTGTTGCACAAAAAATATAAGGGCCTAGATAATTAAAAAACTGTTGCGGGGTTGTTCCTTAATCATATTTATAGTTGTGTATATATACTCCAAAACGCTGGGTTTCTAAGCCCTTGACAGCTAGACTTCGGGTGTCGCGCTATAGCATGACTATACCAAGAAGCGCCGATGAAATATCATTAGCAGTAATTTCGGCTCCGAGTTTGTAAAGGTAGCGACTTCTTTGGGACTTTGCGGGTCAAGGGAGAAGCAACCCGTCCTCGCCGCAGCATCAAAGCATGCCGTGAGTAGCTAGCTTGTTCCGTGAGCTGCTTTGCTCCCCGGAGTTCGGGAGAGACACTGCGCATCGGGTTGTTCGTAAATTAGGACCCATATTACCGGGCACCCCTTCTAGCAGAAACTCCATTTCAAGCAGGGTGACTTAGAGAGAACCGTTCCTCGAAGTGATCTGCTTGCAGCACGCTAGGTTTCGACATCGTCGGGGAAGGCCCAACCATAAACCCTGGAAGGTTACAGCCCCTGGCCTATATAGCGCACGTAGACTTGCCCCGACAGAACCTTCATACCAACCCTTTGGTCCAGCGAAGCCTCAGCCCCAAAAGCTGGATCAGGGTTTAGGGTTTAGTAATGAGAGCTTGAGGACGAATCTGAACCCTGAAAGGGTTCAAGGTTCAGCTTTATGAGGGGAAACTGGTGTCTACGCATGGGAGCCGGCCGACCAACAGCGGGAGGTATAGGGGCTTTGAGAGTTGCAATCAAGGTTTCGGAGTCGACTTTAAGGGAAGACTGTTTTGATTATTCGGGCTGATACATATTAAGCGTCTACACTCCCAGGTGGACCACTACTATTTGCCCCTGGATCGGCAACCGAAGTACCAGGTGCAAGTGGGATACTTCAACCTCGAACGCTCAAGAGGGCTGGAGCCCTCAACCCTCGTGCTCCTGAACCCCATAAATGATCGAAAGTCCCTTGTCTGTAGGGACACATATAGCGGGACAGGATACCTCTACAATCCTCACTGAGGAAATGAGATGTGTTGATCAAGGGCCTGTAGCGACTGTCAACCTGCCACCGCACAGGCCTAAACCCCAACCGCTGCTTATCTTCAACCGCCTTTGTTACTCATACAGGCCCATGTACGCCAGTTTCATCCGCGAAAGCAGAGCATACTGAACAAAAACAACCCCCACACACCCATCAAGCGAAAAAGAACGCGTCAATGGCATATGTGCCCTAAATCCCAAGCTCCGCACCACAAGACCCAAAGTCGCAATTGATCTTTCAATCCCTTAGATTGTGCCTTCCGCCATGAGAGGGATTTGTAGGCCGGACGGGATGCAAGCGCCAAGTTGGCGCTTTAGCATTAAGATTTTAGTGGAACAAAGCCTGAAATTCTGAAAGCCTATCGGCACAACTGACCTTGAAGCCCGAGACCCTCGTCCTATCTACTGCGAAAGCCCTCACCAACAATCCCAACTGTCAGGCACGGAAGCTTCGATCAGATGTCGACTACGATCATATCGAGTCCATGGACGTCGAGTAGCTGGGAAGCAAGCGGATATGCTGAGGGTTTAGGGTTCAGGGTTCATCCCCAGACACTGGTGAAGAACAATTTGAATACTAACCCTGAAACGAAGACAAGGGTCTACGTCAAGGTTCGACTCTCCCAAGCTTCTAGGCCCGAATCCCGAACTCAGTCCAGGCTTGCAGTAGGGTGTTCCGCCTAGGCCTGCAAAGCCCTCAGTGCAGTACTTTTTACTTATCGGACCCTAAACCTATTTAGAGCCTCGTTCCGAAGGGTTTAAGGTATTTGGACTGCGGGCTGTAAGCTTTGATCGTATCGGTTCTTGTAGTTCGCGGTATAGGTGTTTTGGTTTCAGGGAGGCTCGCTGATTCGGATGCACCGGAGTACCACCGAGCACTAGGGAGTGGATGTGGCCATTACAAAACCCCAAACATGAAACCCAAAGCCCCCAGAACGGTGTTCTGAGGCTTATCTGTCAGCATCTGAATGCCGGATCCCCGGCCCCTGCGCGTCGAGCATAGCCATCACTGTTGCTAGGTTCTTCTACTGAGAAGAGAAAGGTCTACATTACAGGCACACTTTGGTGTTTACGGCACAGAGCTTCAGGCAGCGCGTTTGAACATCAGCAGTTTTATAGGACCTAAAGTTAAGTCAGGCCAGGGTCTGGGATTTGGGAGGTTAGAGTGGTGCTGACCGGCCATTACTCCATGTTTCGCCTGGGCACACTCTCCTTGTAAGCCTCTTTCCCTGGGACGGGGACGTAGGGCGAATCTGCATGAAGCCTAACCGTACAGCTCGAAGCCTAAACATGATTACTATACGGGGCCTTAAACAATTGCCTATCTTATTTTGGCGGTTCCTTATTATAATTAGAGTATAATGGGCCCCAAAACATCCCAAAACTCTATTCTAAGTACTATGTCCCTATATTAGAGCCCGAAACCCAGGACCCTTACCCGGCCTCCTGAAGCCCCGAACCCTGAGCCCTGACAAGAGTGGACTGCTGTACCGACCCGCCTGTCCTTTAGGGTTTAGGGTTCGGGGTTCAAACTTACCCCACCCGTGTGAATCCTGAGCCGCCACGAAGAGAAGCAATGAGGGAACCAACATCTCAATCCTGTTTCAGCAGATTCAAGCGTCATACCGAGCTTTGGTTCTTCCAGACTTGTACGCTTCAATTCAAAGCCAGACGTCCAAATCGACAGGTCCTTCTTGCTCAAGAAGCTTTAGCCTCTTTTAAAGGTCTATAGCTCTTGAAGGACTGAAGGTATGAGTTTAGGAAGTAGAGCTTAGGGTCTTGAAAAGTTTTACAGTGTGGAGGGCTTATGAGCTAGCTACGAGTAGGAGTCTAGGGGTTAAGAAGTCAGACTGAACGGGGTTCTGGTTACAGGATAATTAGTTGAAGTTACGACAGTAGTGATGATCTATAGTAAATAATACGATTTCTTTGTTATGGTAACTTAAATGAAAATCGTCAACAGGAGACCAGTAAATGTCCCAGGAGTCAGGATCTAGGGTTTACGGCTTAGAAGATGGTGTGGACTTGGCTTTGCCGGGGTGCAGCAAGAAAAACAATCCAGCCTTTTTGAAATCCCTAGATCCTGTAGGCCCCTTCAATCACGTTACCCTGAAAGCTCGTAAACCATCGAAAACCGTACTTCCTAGACTCCACCCTTCAAAACTTATTCACTTTAAGGCGCTTTGCAATTGAAATCGTACCTGTTCGAGCCCCCTTCAAATGCTTAAAAGCTTAATTCCTAGTTCAACCCTTTCGACAAACATCGTCAAGCCTTGAACCCTACACCCGAACCCCGAAACCCTAAAACCCCTAATCTCTGCTATCCCATTATAGGGTAGCAGGTGCTTGAAAGGTTTGTTAGTAAAGGATTGTATAGTATACAACCTTTTACTAACAAACCTTTCAAGCACCTGTTAAACTTAGAACCTGTTAAGGCTCTGGTGTCCGGCGAGTCTGTCATGGCTCCGGCCCATCCCTCAAGAAGGGATGTGTTGAGGGCTTAGAGGTTCCGAAAGCTGTTGCTTGTTGTTGAAGAGTTTCGGGGTTTAGGGTTTACTTTACTAGGATGCCCAGTAGTACCCTTATTCCCTTTTTGTAGTCCTAGGTTCCTTATAAAGTTACCCAATACCATAAAGAGGGGCCTTTTTATTCTTAGGTTACTGGGTATCCTAGTTTAAGAATGTACGGTTCTGGACGTTGGGGCTTCAGGGTTGCAGGTTGTTGGGATGTCGGGCACCGGGCCGATAAATGTTCATCATTTTGGGGTTCGGGCCCTTGAACCGTAACCCCTCAAACCCTTACCCATGGCCCCATAGTAGCTCCTTCTTGGGATTACCTTATAGAGTTCTATATATGAAACCCAAAAAGAAACTACTTTGGGGCCTATGGGTAAACCCTAATCCCGACAGTCTCCGGATGCGGTCTGTTTTGTCCGTCGCTTTGACCGGCTTGGGTCGGGACTGGCATAGTTGATTTGCGGTGCTTAGAATCCAAAAATCAAGCGGGGCGTACGCAGCTCGAGAATGTGCGAGGGATTACGATGGGTTCCAGCTTCTCTAGTTCGGGAAGTTTCTAGATCTTTTGGGAGGTGGTATGCGCGACATGGGCTCCTCAGCGATGATGCCCATGCCGACCAAACCTCAAGCATTGTGATAGGTCCGGAAGGTCATTATTCAGTCAGAAGCCCAGACCCTGCCAGACCCTGCAATCTGCCGGGCAGATTTCAGAATGTCATACTCTTGGCGAGTGTAGCCCTATACACCCCGAAGCCCTAAGCACAAACTTCTCCGGGCAACAGCACAGCCCAGAGACTCCAGAACCGCTTAATTAAGGGATATACCCCTAAATCAGCTTAGGAATCCTATTCTAATCTAAGGTATATTCCTTAATTAAGGGATATACCCCTAAATCATCTTAGGAATCCTATTTTTATTTAAGGTATACTCCTTAATTAAAGGGTTTTGGAGTCTCTGGGAGTTTCCTTCCAAGAGGTTTACAACATGAAGACGGGCTACAGGGACGGGTGCCTCGGACAGCTGTTGGAGACTACTCTGCTGGCTTTCAAAAGGTGTAGGTTTGCCTTATTTTGGGTCCTTACAATAAGGATCTTACCATTCAGGGTACTATTAGGGTCCCCATTTTCGGAAACTCCTATGTGTGGAATTGAACTTGTTTAGGGTTGGTGTTTTGTGTCTCCTAGGCCTTGGAAGAATGTTACCGTTACTGTGCTCGTGGATGCCTCAAGTCAAGTACGCCTCCGTTCCCTCATAGTGGTTGCATGGGAGCTTTCCCAGAGATTTCTCAGACCTCAAGCCTTGAAGGGGACATGAGGTTTTTTGGGCTGCATGCAGAGCCCTCTATGAAAATCCAGTACCCTACACCCTAAACCCCGAAGTCCCAAACTCTTGAATCCCGCCCCCCACCTAAACCCTAAAGCCCTGGAGCTGTAATCTGATTCTGAACCGCGCTTTCCTCGCACCCAGAGGCTTCAAACAGACATCAGTCTGCGTCTGCTGCACGACGGAACCCTAGCACCAAGCTAAGACTAAGCATGCCAGCATATACATAAAAGCTCTCGGGTCCCGGGCCGCCCCCCCCCCCCCCCCCCCCCCCCCCCCCCCCCCCCCCCCCCCCTCCCAACCCCCTGCCGCCCTGCTGCTGCACGCCCACCCGCCCTGCCCGCCCCGCCGCCCGGCCCGCACCTTGCCTGCCCCTTGACCTTGTGCGCGGATCGGGAGTGTCGCACTATGCCCTGCCGTGTGCGGAAAGCGGCATCTGACGTGATTTGCAATGCTGAATTATGAGGGTTGTATTGCGATGGTGATGGTGGCAGATCTTCTTTTGAAGGTATCAATGATGAACATGACGACGACAAGGATGATGTTGAGCATGGTATGATCGTCGACTCATGTCCCGGTCTAGAGCAGCACAACATCATGAGCAGTATCACCGGTGCCACAACAAGAGGGAAGACAAGGAGTAACACATAAGAACGTCGTGGCAAAAAGAGTACCACCACAGGCCCCACACCACAGGGGGGGCGGGGGGAAGGGGGAGGATACCATGGGGTGGGGGGGGGTGTGGCAGCCTTGCATCATATATACATATATACACCTACATACATACATACATATATATATATATGTATGTATGTATGTATGTATGCATGTATGCATGTATGCATGTATGTATGTTTGTATGTATGTATGTATGTATGTATGTATGTATATGGTTCTCCGAGAAACCATCCACAGACACATCTCTTTCTGCCTTTCTGAGTTAAGTGAGTGGTAGAATGTCCTCACGAGACAAGAGCCGTTGTTGTATTTTTGCTGTCCTACCATGTAGGTGTTTCGGGTTTTGGGGCTTTGGTTTCTGAGTATATACCCAAGTGACACCCCAAACCCTAAACTCTAAACCCCTACGCCCCCGAACCGTTATAGACTTCGGATTTGAGGGCGGCCCTGAGGTTCACGGCAGTAACGGCTGGTCTCTTGAACCTAATAGGTTTCCGCCTGGTTGAATGTAGGTTTAGGGTTTGAGAGGCAGGGACTAACCATACCTAAGCCTAAGTGAAACCAGGGCCGGATTTGTAAGGACAACAGAAGTCCCTTGAATCCGCTTCCCAGAATCTTACCGAGAATGCAGGAACCCGGACACCTGAATCTTAAGGCTGCAAATAGCAGACACCCAAGCGCGGAATGCCAGCCCGAAGACCCGGGTTTAGACAGCCTGGCAGCACAACAAAACCGCCAAACTCCAAGCCCTTAACCCTGGATCCTTAACCTCGAAACCATGACGCGCAACTGCAGCTCCGGAAATCCAAACCCAGCTCTCTGCTGAGAACGCACACCCTGAACTCAACCGCCACCTGCCCCTCGCGCCAGTGATGGAACCAAGTTCGACGCGCTGCCTTCGAACGGGACCCTGGGTTGGGGTAAGCCTTATAAAGGCGCAGAATAATTGCCAGTGATTTTCCTTAGTGTTCCTTATCATAATGAGTACGCGATGGTTTTTTTCCCAAAGCCCCATTTGTTCAAGCTCCAGCACGATGTACAATGCACCTTAGACTTGAAGGCTAAGGCTCTGATAGTCGCGGTGGCGCTTAGGGCTATAGGGACTGCGTGTTGGGACGTTTTCTGGGAATACCACAGGTAGAGCTGAGCGGTGGAAGCCCTATACCCTAAACCAGCTACGTACCCCAGAACTGAGCAGTAAACCCACAACAGGGACATCCTAACCCCAACTCAAAACCCTTAACCCTGAAACCCTAAACCCGAAGCCCCCCCAAGCTGCAAACCCGTGTCTGCATCTTCGTATTCTTGGTTTTTAGGCCTCTGTAGGCTTGTTTGCTTCTTGTATCGGTTTTGTGCTTGAGGGCGTGGCCTTGAGTGGCCGGTTTCAGGGTTCCGGGACGGCCTAAGTCCTTCAGGTCATGAAGCTGGCAGTGTTCGTAGGGAAATCAGGATGGTCCAAGCTTCCAAGATGGTCCATAATTTTTGTCAGGGATCCTGAACAGAAGCATACAAACAAGTGCTTGTGCCAATATACAAACAATGTAGCTCAAAACTCTCGAGATCTGATTAAGGAAGGCCCATATGTCATGCTTCTTGTTGTACACTCCAGGCCCCAAGCCAAAGCTCATGAAGAACTGCGCCCAACAGTGGCAGGATTTTGGTTATTGAGGGCATCCATGCGCTGAACCCTCTCTACACCCAGGAGGGTCGAGAGGGTGTAGGGTTTCGAGGATCCCATATAACCTAGATAGTGAACGGGGGAACTTTAAACCTTTTGGACTTACGTATTAGCTCTATCTTAGAAAGTTTGAACTTTTTGGGGCCCGGCTGTTGAAGAACAGAGATAAGATATAAGATCCCCTTTCGGAATTCTTATCGGACGCCTCGAAGATCCCTTTTGGAAGCCCTCTTTGGCACATCCTTTTTAGGAACGCCCTAAATCCCAAGCCCTAAACCCTATAAGCCCCTAAGCCCTAAACCCTCCCGGACTGACAGGGGGCCTCTTCTTGGAACCCTTAGGGGGTATCTTCAGCCTGAATAACCGCCTACCTTTTTGGGGATCCTGATTATGATTTCCTTATATAAGCCCCTGAAAAGGTAGTTTATTTGGGGTTAAGGTAGGACTTGCGGATGTCGAGCCATCGGCCTTTGGATCTTTCAGAATTGAGCTTTGGGTGTTGTAGGAAGTTGATTTAGGGCTTTGGGTTTTGTTGTTTTGAATTTAGGGCCCCAGGGTTGAGGTGTTCGCGGATTTAGGGATTTGAGATTTAGGGGTTCAGGGTTTACGGGAGTTTGTTTGCGGGCTCCTGGGCTTCATATATACTGTAAGACAAACCCCAATCAACTGGTCTGTTTGCATTTGAAACAGCAAGATTTCGTGATTCCTCTAAAGAAGAAGACGCCTTATGGCCTTATGTGCACGAACCGCGCGGCTAGAGGGCCAAGTTACCGCGCCAATTCTATCCTTTACCAATCACGAAGCAGGAGCATGAGGCACCAACGGCACCAAGTTCATGGTTTAGGGAAGTGCATAATCTCTGCAATTGCAGTTAACCCGCGTTCCTCTTTGACTGCAGGGTGAGCGCTTGATGCATTAGGCAAGCAGATTGATGCCGAGTCTACCATGCCTGGAAAACATCGTAGAACCGAGTCTTGCCGGTCAGTTGGTAGGTGTTGCGAGAATTCACCCATCCGCGGCACAGATTAGCCGACATGTGTATATAGTTATACTGAATGCTGGTGACGTAGATGCAGTTATCAGTTGTACCGACGGATACGGAGGCACACGGCGATTGCACGAGGGATACCCCAACTCCTTCAAAGAAAACGCTGGTCCCTTGCTGCAGGCTGTTTCGGACGACAAGCTTTTCAAGATTTTCATTTCGCCATTAACATCTCTGCAGGCCGTTTTAGCTTATTTTAGTCCTCATGGCAGCAGTAGCATGGGTGGCGAGGGTGGTGCTAGTAGTAGTAGTAGTAGTAGTAGTAGTAGTAGTAGTAGTAGTAGTAGTAGTAGTAGTAGTAGTAGTAGTTTAGTAGTAGTAGTAGTAGTAGTAGTAGTAGTAGTAGTAGTAGTAGTAGTAGTAGTAGTAGTAGTAGTAGTAGTAGTAGTAGTAGTAGTAGTAGTAGTAGTAGTAGTAGTAGTAGTAGTAGTAGTAGTAGTTAGTAGTAGTTAGTAGTAGTTAGTAGTAGTTAGTGGTAGTTAGTAGTAGTTAGTAGTAGTTAGTAGTAGTTAGTAGTAGTTAGTAGTAGTTAGTAGTAGTTAGTAGTAGTTAGTAGTAGGTAGTAGTAGTTAGTAGTAGTTAGTAGTAGTAGTAGTAGTAGTAGTAGTAGTAGTAGTAGTAGTAGTAGTAGTAGTAGTAGTAGTAGTAGTAGTAGTAGGTAGTCGTAGTGGTGGTTTCAGGTCGGAGTTGAAGGTTTCGACCCTAGGATTGAAGGATTCAGGGTTTATGGTTTGGGGTGTTTTTCTGGTTAGTGTCTGGAGCTGTTGGGCCAGCGCGGGTCTTGGAGCTTAGTTTCATTGCCAGGGGACCCCATATGCCATAGGCTTCATATCACAATCCACTATGGTCTGAAGCTCTGGCTTGGGATGTTTGAATGTAGCTTCGGGCTGCAGAATTCGAAGCCAGCCCTAATAACCTCAAACTCCAGGCCCTAAACGCCTGAAAGAGCTTTTGCGAAACCATGAATGAAGTGAAACAACCCCCATTGGAAACTTTACAGAACCCTTATCGATTCCTTGAAGACATCTTATAGAAACTTGATCTTTAAAGAACCTTTATAGAAACCTTTTGGAGCCTCTTGACAGAATCGCCCAGCAACCCGTGTCGAAATCCTATGAAACTCTTGTGGAGCCCTTGTGGCAACCTTCCAAAACCTTTAAAGGAACGATAGAAACCTGATAGAACCCCTTATCGACCCCTTACTTAAAGAACCCCTTCCCTTTCGATATCTTACAGTTTACCCTTATGGAGCCCTACACCTTAAACCCACTGTGAAGAAGCACCCAGACAGCCTGAGCTTCACCCGCCTGCCGCCTGCAGTTGGATGACCACAACTGCGCCGGTGTCTGAGGAGAGCCTGTTAGAAGTACAAGCCCAATTAGGGGTTTCTAAACCCTAAACCCTAAAACCCTAAACCCTAACCCCTAAACCCCTAAACAAACCCAATTAGGGGTTTAGGGTTTAGGGCAAAGCTTCGAGGCTTTGGGGCTGTAAGCTTGGATTTTCTTATTTCCGGTGGTGGAGCTTCGAGTTTACAATTCGGGGGCTTTGTGTTTTGGGTTCGTGGGGCTCGGAGACCGGCTGAACGATTGTGGGCGGTTTAGGGTTTAGGGTTTAGGGGTTTAGGGTTTTGGGTTTGGGGTTTGGGGGGGTTGGGTCACTTGTCCAGGTTGCAGCATGAAGCCGAGTATCTTCGGGGAGCGACGTCCAAAGATGACAATGGTGACATGTTCTGGTGACGATGTCTATCATGTTGGTGATGACGTCCGGCAGTTGATCGCTGCCCCGCTGTGAGCATGATCATGTTGCCGATTGATCAGATGATGCAATCGCTTCATCTAGTGACAGCATGCGTTTTTCCAACTGCCAGGAATGCTGGAGTCAGTATTGGCAGCTAGCATCCCGAGATTCCGATGCCCCCTACACCCACCCACACCGTATCCATGAAGCCAAGACCCTGTGCTTTAAAACCCCAAAACATTATTGCTCAGGTCAAAACAACGCACCACCGGCTCCTCAGACGGATGTCCCGCGACTATCTCTTCCGAGGGAATTCTGCGGCGGACATCTCAGCGCGATGCCAACAGCACTTGATGTGGTTCGGAGTTTTCGAGATTAGGAAGGTTGACAGCAGTCAGTTGCAGCGAGTTCAAACTTTCCACCTGCAGAGGAAAGCCGAAGCACGGACCCCTCGAAATCCCAAACCCTAAGCTTAAAGAGCTCTAGATCTTCAACTCTAATTGCTGTAAGATCCTAAACGAGATATGGTAGTTGCTCGGCCTTCATGGCGTTGAGATCAGTTTCCTTATGGGTCTTATGGGGATCTTAATGGTTATCCCGGGAGCCTAAAACCGGCTTGGTCTTCGGGCGTTATGCTTTGCTGGATCTCAAGGTTGATTTCGTGCGTAGGGGCTTCGGAGCTTTGGCTTTGTAGGATTTGGGTTGATACGGTAGCTTTTGAAGTCGCTTTCGTGCTTTGGAGTTGGGGGGCAGGGCGGGGGGTTTGAGGTTGAGGGTTTCACGATTGATTCAGCGCTCAAGGCTTCACCAGCATTCACGGTGAAATCGTTCCGCAGTTTCTCCTAACCTAGGACATCCGAGAAGTAACTCTTAATTAGTTAGTTCGAAAAAGCCATATCTAAGACCCCTTCAAAGGAACTCTTGGCTGCTCTGTTGAGGCACGAACTCTTGGCATGTGGGACAATGTCCGAAAGGGCGAGGCACGTGGGCTTAAGGCTTTGGGCTTACTGCTACGAAGACCTCCACTGTGACTGCTGTCACTCCCAGTTTGTTGTTGTAGTTTGTAGGGTTGTGTTTCGACATGATCGTTCTGAATTGGCGATCAACTTTGTGTCTTTGCATGGCAAACGGCTTCATTGGGCGGAATTTCCTTCAGCACTGCGGCTTCAGGGGCCGCTTAACCGTAAACGTGAAGTTCTAAACCCTAGACTTACGATCTCAGGGTTGTGTGGCCCCATTTGTAGCAGAGTAGCACCATGTGAAGGTTTCGTCTCAACCATTGCAGGCTCCGGGCTTAGGATTTTTGAATTTTTATTGCGGGTTTAGGGTCGTAGCAGCAATGTACCTATAGTCTCCATTGTAGTTCCTTTTTTTGTTAACCAAAATCTCTATTATAGGGTCCTAACCATAAAACTGGTCAACCAAAAACAGGAACTACAATGGAAACTATAGGTAGGGTCTATACTAGGCTGGTATGTTCGGAGAAGCCGAGGATTAGGCCCTCCGGCTTAAAGCTGTCCCCGAGTGCGAAATCCAAACTCGGGGAGGGCCTCCACTTAGGGTTGTGCAATGTTTTTGGGGAGTTTCCCAACATCAGGGGTACCATATTTTGGGGCCCTTATAATAAGGATCCTACTATTCGGGGTACTATATGAGGGTCCCCCATTTTCGGAAACTCTTATTTGTGTTGATTCCATTGATGTCTTGATGAGCATCGAATCATAGAAGCGGCTGCCGCACAAGTATGGAAGAACGTAGATTAGGGTCACGTAGAAGCATAAAAATGAGTCGCCATACTTCTCGCCTTAGTTACAAAATATCATGACAGTTTCAGTGTCGAACTACCATGAACCCGATTCTTACATGCACATACACGGGATGCATGCTCCATGTCCTGGCTATTGTGCGAGACTACCAGATGCAAAACCCTCAGCTCTTGATCGTCCTACACAAGCCTATACGATATACCCCAAACACCCGTACACAAACCTATACGATGTACCCTAAACACCCCTATACAGACCTATACGATATACCCCAAACACCCCAAACCCAGAACTGCTAACACCCTTGTTTATTTTGAGCTGAAGGATCCCGGGGCTCAAACAGAGAACGCTTCTAAGATGATTCAGACCCGGCTTCGCGACAGGGCGTTTGGATTTTCCCTCACCAGAACAACGCGGACTTCGTCATGAACTCTGCTGCCGAATACGAGGCAGGAGTCTGAATCCTGCTTTTAACCCCTGAACCCTAAACTCTAAGTAGTCTTAGGCTCTTGGTTCTCATCATTTCGACTCCCTCAAAGCCCGTGTGTACCTACTAAGTAAGGCCCTGCCTGCAAACATCGTCATCTTTTATGTTGTTTTCGGAGCTCTTTTTACTCCTTTGCGACTCGGCAATAATTCGGTTTGTGTAGGCAGTAGGGCCGAAGACCTGCACGACATGCTGCCGTGTTGGGCACCAAAGACGAGAGTTTATTGCAGCAAGATGTGTGTCTCGAGATCTGGACCAGCGGTTTAGGCCAATGCTTGAGCCTGAGCATATGCAAACCGAAGCAAAAGCATCATTGTTTTCTGCCGGCGAGATTTCCTGAGGTAGCGGTAATGCGGAAAGCAGCACCGATAGTGTCATAGCTTAGAAGCTGCCCCCACCCTGTAATAGTGACTATAAGGATTACATTAGGGCCTATTATGTTCCTATTATACCACTATTACAGGTGGGGGCCCCTTCTAAGTCATAGCGACCCTGCATGCGTTCGGATAGGAACCCTGTTTGAAAGCATAAGGATGACTTTACACCCATGACCCTCAAACCTTAAACCCCTAAACTCATGATCCATGAGCCCCTAAAACCCCAAACCCATGAACCCCTAAAGCCCCAAGACTCAATTACTTCCTGCAGATTCCCGTTCTGAAGACCTTCATCGAGCCTCTTCTCCGGGCTGTCGATGCTTCAGCTGGTTGGGTTGCGGGTTTCGGGCACATGAGTTTCACGGTTTGAGCAAAAGCAGCACCTCGCTACCAATCGTGAGCTTAAATTTTTCACACCCTCCAGTACCGGACCGGCTAGAACCTGAGAGCCTTCCAGCGACGAGCGACTGAACTTCAAAGGTTTACCCCGGTCTCGAGTCTCAGCGACCTCTTATTCCAAACCCCAAACCCGATTTGGGGATTCGGGTGGGGATTTAGGGTCTGTTGCCAGTTTACCAGTTTGACCGAACATGGTATTGGGCTTTTGGCTTGTGCATGTGTAGCCAGGAACATCAGGTTTGGATATTGTCTTTGAAAGTCTCAGTAACCAACATCGTCGGTTGAGTTGCGAGAAGTAGAGGATGTGTTGGTAGGAGCCGTCGTCCTCATCGTTGCCGTCGTAGTTTTCGTCGTTGTCCTCGCCGTCGTCGAGTAGGCAGGCTACCACAGCGTCTACAACAGTTGATTCCGACAGCACGTACATTACTCATGTGTCCTGCAGGAGTCCACAATCAAGCCCAGCCGAAGACCCCATCTTTGAGAAGAATGCAAACCATCTTTGAGAAGAATGCAAACACGTACAGCGCCGCATCACCACTTATGAAATATATGATATGCTATAGAAGTCATAAAAGAAATGACCTGTGACTGAATACCACGGCCGTGAAGCTGAGGTCAGCCCAGATGATGAGACCTTTCCGAAGGCACCTGCGATGATGACAGAGAGCGAGCGAGCGAGAGAGAGAGAGAGAGAGAGAGAGAGAGAGAAAGAGCTGTTCATTTCGCACAACACTACCAACTCTCCCTAGACTCCTCGCCAAACGCAAGACGCGTCGCCCCAAGCACTGAACCTTAAAAACCTTGAAGCCGCAAGAGCATGAAGCCCAAAATCCTATTGTAGGCCTTTGGAAAACAGGCCCTTGCGCATCAGTAATTACTGGATACAACTCCAAGATGCCTGAGTGTACGCTTTCGGGCTGAGGGCTTTAGGAGAACGGTGACAGTAACAAGAATCGCAGCATATTATTCGCTGCACGGAGGAATGGTGATATCGATTCCAACATTCACTAGGCCCCCGTGTGAATGCAGCTAGCATTGCCCAGAGTGATAATCCTGAGGCCCAAAGGCTAGTGATACAATTCCTCATTTCCTTGGTGCTTTCCACCAATGGACCAAAGGCCTAAACCCTAAACCCAACCCTAAACCCTAAGGCCCTAGCACCCTCAAGCCCACGCAGTCGGTAAGGCGAAGGGACAAAGCCTCGTAACCTCGAAACTGTAAACACCCTCGAGCCCTAAACTTACCTTTGGTTAGTAGGGAATGGAAGAATGGTAGTAATAGTAGTTATAGCACTACTAACCAAAGGTAAGTAACGCCCCAAAGGTAAGTCTTAAACTCCCATCAGCCCCAAGATACAAAACCAACACTCCTCTGCACTCTACAGCTTCAACCCACTCTGCAGGCCGCCGCACAAAGCCTGCAAACCCTTGCAACTATGAAGCGCTTGTAATGCAGAAGCGCCCTTCGCAAAGAAACAGCCCCCGACGAGTCCCCAAATCCTAAGCCCCCAACCTTCAACCCTAAACCCCGAAACCTACCCCCCCAAAGCCTTATAAGCCCCAAAGCCTTCACCCTATAAGCCCTAAACAAGTCTCCCCCGAGGCCCAGGAGATTTTGAAGCTTCTGGATCTCTTCGCTACCTGGCCTCCTGAGCTGGCGCCACCTCTGGCGTCCGGAAGCCCAGGTTCTGTCAAGGTTCTGAAGGCTCCGTAATTATTATAGGGTAGTATAGGGTTTGAAGAAGTCCTATAGGTTTTTCGCTGAGTTGTGCTTTCGTGGTTTAGGTTTTGAGATGTTGTGGCCTGGTCCAAGATTCTGGGGTTCTAGCATTTGCTTCGATGGCATTAGGCTACTCTGTTGTTTTCGCACATGGGGTGACATGCTGAGGTATCGGGCAAAACATGTACTCCGAACAACACCGACACGATCCGAAGCAATTATGCTACGGCCAAGACCCTTTTGGGCAAGTGGTTGTCTTGGGACATGGCTACTGAAACCGCAGACAAAGGTTGCTCCGCGAGTTCGTGGGCGACGGTGCCTTCGACTGCCACTGAGTGCTCGCAAGCGTCTTCTTGCGACTGCAGGGCTGCGCCATGCTTCGCCCAACTTACCTTTGGCTAGTAGGGAATGGAGGAATGGGGTACACTTATAACTACTATTACTACCATTCTTCCATTCCCTACTAACCAAAGGTAGAGTTGCTTTTCGGTGGTTCTCGTGAATACGGACCCTGCTAAAGCCTTGCACTGTCCTAAACCCCCATATCCTAGACTTAAACCGACTCCATAAACATGATCCTTCGGTTGAGGGGTAAAGCAGCTTAAATATGGAAGTCTGAGTTTTAGTAGCTATTCCTTGGGCTAGTAACATGCCTGGCCGTCCATGTAAATAAAGCCCAACTACATTGTGGTTGCAATCTTACCCACGCTGAGAGATGCTGCGAATCCTGCATGATACGGTTGATGATGTGAATCCTGCATTACCTTGAGGACCCTAAACTATGGGAACTATGGTATACTCTTTATTATGGGTGATGCAGGATTTATACCATCAACCGTACTGTCTTCGGTGCAACGGCCTCAGAACAGAAGCGGCTGCTGGTTGCTATTCAGGCAGCCTTGCAGGCTCAAGCACCTCCACCACTAAACCTGGAATTCTAACCCAGCTTAGAACAAGCTCTAATCCCTGAAATCTAACTTCAAATCTCTTCAACAACAGACAACGGCCTTTAGGGTTTAGGTGTTAAATCATCCAGAAGTACATCAGGGCAAGGATTTGGATTCAAGGGTTTCGAAGGTGCTTTTCAAGGCCGCCCCGCTGCAGTCGTAGCTGCACGCAAGCCGTGTCGTCGCGGTGCCAAACCTACTAGGGGCTGTAATAACTACCGATACAACTTTGGGGGTTCCTTTTTGTAATTGTAGGTTAATGGGCGCCAAAACCCTAGTCTAATTATTCAGGCCCCTGTATTACCTGAGGGCTCAAAGCTCATACCTTCTCTCGATATTCAACCCCGTACGACGGCCCTGCCCCAAAAATTGCTAAGCCCCACTGCTACGAATGTTGGCAACATGTCTAATCATGTCAAGTATCCATCTTTGTCTCCAAAACATCCATGGCCCAACACTAAAGCCGACATCCTTAGCATAGAAGCCTGAATAAGTGATTGTCTGTTTATTTTGGGGGCTTCTTGTTTAAGGGCTATATTATAGTACACCTAAAGAGCCCGTTTTGTTTATTAAGGGCCCTATAGTCGGTTCGCCGGTCAACCCCAATATCTTGCCATTTGGAAAGGCAATGTTTCCAGCGATAAGAGGCTTATGGCTTGTGGTTTTTTGGAGGTTGTTTGCGGGGTTCATGGCTTGTGGTTTAGCTGTTCAGGGGTTTGGGTTTTGTAGGGATGTATTGTTTGTGGGTTAGGGTTTTGTGGGGGTTTATTGTTTAGGGGGTGTTGGGGCGCGTTTAGGTTTGGAGACCAGTCTTTGTGTCCTCGGCCCGTGACTCTACGGCAACCTGGTGTCCGATGCACACTCTTGCAAGTCCTTATGAGCCTTGCCCACATCGATTCCTCAGCCAGTTTGGAGCAAGAGAGGAAAATGGCTGCCCGAAGCCAGGGTTTAGGGTTACGGTTAGGCACCGTTTACATTTTAAATTGAGGCGCTCAAGTCGACAAGCCTTGGCATTCTCAGCTCTGAGGCCCTCAAGCCTGAGGAAGAGGGTTTGGATGTAGCAATCGTTGGAGCACACGAACCTGTCGTCCGAAATCAGCTCGTATGTGACGTGACAGTTACGCTTGCTCGTGCTGCAATTGCCCCCTCTATGTATGTCAGAACACATGTTCTCAAAAGTGCCGAGTCTGGGCTAGGTCGGAATGTCTTAACTCCGCCGACGTTGAGTGCAAGCTTAATGGCAACATCCTCCCCGCCCCATGCAAGCTCCTGAAGTCACAGACTTTTCATTCGTCACTTCGAGCTGCTTTTCAAGCCGCAATACTTGAATAGGACCACGGCCTCTCAAGTAAAGACTGAGATTGAAGGCCCAAATGATCTAAAATGATGCCTGACCTACGCTGTCTCTATTTCCCGAAGCAAACCCACATCTACACACCCCTCATGCTTATCGAAACCCTGGCATATCCTAGTATCAACCCCATCCTACGTAAACGCTCTTCAACACTCTGTGAAAAACCCGCGGCAGCCCAAATCCTAAACCTCCAATCCTGTAACTGAAGCCCAAACCTTAAGCCCAAAGCCTTGAACTTTGAATCCTAAGCCAAACCGGTGTTTGAGGTATTACATGTAACGCAATAACTACCAAGGCTATTCACTATTCCTGAGAGCTCCGTATATTGTAACACACTCCGAAGCATGAAAGCCCTTATCCTGTCACAAGCCCTATAGATCCTTATAAACCCGTTCCAAAATGTGACGCCCTGATAGAAACTCTGCTCGAATAGCCGCCAGGAGACCGAGCAGCGCCACGAGGAGCACTTAGCTGCCTGGCAGCTGGCGGAGTGTCCGTGGGACTCAGGAACGGCCCTTTCAGGTTGCTTGAAGGATTTCTTCGAGAGTTTCTATAAGGGCTTCCTTGAAAGGCTCCATTTGAGGGCTTCTTTAAGGTTTCTATCAGGGTCTATAAGTGTTTCTACGAGTGGCATGTTGAGGGTCCTCGGGTTTTGGGTCATTACATGAAGGTTTAGGGTTGCGAATTTGGGGGTCAGCCCTTTAGGTCTGTGGGATGAAAAGTAGGATTGAGACTGCATGCTGTTTGGAGCTTTTTTTCTGAAGCGAGGAAGCCCTTGTATAGGATCCTTCTAAACCGTTATATGCCCTTCATTAGCCCAGACAATTTCGCCCACTGCGAGAAGTTAATTTCACCCTTCCACAGCAGCAGCAAACCCTTTTCAGGCTACTCTGCAGCCATCACAGCAGCTTCTTGGGTCTTGGGTTTAGGGTTTAGGGTTGAGCCGTTGAGCCCTGAGCAAATTCGGCAGCGGGCTTTCCCAAAAGGGTTGGAAACCTTAACCCTGGCCCTAATCTCCTAAACCCTGAAGTTATCCTAAAGCCCGAGAGGCCCCAAAACGGTTCCAGCTTTTAGAGACTTCCAGCCCTTCACGCCGCCAGGCGATCTGGATCTCCCCTTGCTGCAGCATGTGCCGCAGACAGAGGTGCCGGAGCTGGGATCCCAACCCGAGTTCATTCCCAAACTGCCTGCAAGATCGAATATAGCACCGTGAAGAGTTAGTATGTTATAACTTGATCTTATTCTATGCGGCTCCCTTTGATAGAAAACTCAGCCACAGACTTGTTCCCATTGCTAAGGCCACTTGGAGCCGCGAAAGCACTGAAATCTAAAGCCAACCCAAGGCCACAAACCCTTGAGTCCAAGTCCCACTCACAAGCCCAAATTCCTAAGCAATGCGCTCCGTGGCTGTCCAAACAGGAAACCACGAAATATTGAGCCTATCCTAGTTCAAGCACAGACTCGAAAAGCCAAAAAAAAACAGCTGTGCCTGAACCCTAGGGGGTTCAGGGTTGGGCGGGTTGGGCTTGTCTGCGTTTTGGGCTCATGTTTGTTGGTGAGTTTAGGCCTTTTGCAGTATGGCGTGGTTGGGGCTTCTGGGTTAGTTTGTCAAACCTCGGCTTCTACATTCTGGAGCTTGTGGGGCTTCTAGGCGTTCTGTATCCCCTACGGTAGAAGCCAGAAAGTTGGAATATCATTATCGTAGCCCCTTTAAGGTAAATTATAGGGGATCCTCGACGACGAACTGCTATTGCTGGGTCAGCTTACGAGGCGGGGAAAAAGATCCTGTATCTGAACCCCCGCCTACCTGTGGAAACTAGGACAGCCCTGTTCAAAGCGGCCATTGACCCGGTTTACTTCAACCTCGGTCAAATGGTGAAGAGAGGTTGGTTGGTTTGGGGGAGGGCGCGGTGTAAGGGCTCGTGAGCGATGGCACTTGTCGTCGTCCTCCTCCTCGTCGCAGCAAGACTGGCAGCATTGTACTCGAAATCATGGCGTGGCCCTCAAAGATCGTCCTGAGGGAAAACACATCCCGTGACATTGAGATTTTGCGTGAACTACTAGCGACAGCGAAAGCAATACCCAGTCATTCGGCCAGCCAGAACAGTACGGCTCGAGAAGATGATAGCGACGAAGAAGCATGGGAGAGCATGGATACGATATGAGAGCTTCGCCGACAAGATCGGGTTTATTTCCAGACAAGTCCTCGTCGGACTAGCTGAACCACTGTATCTACCACCCGCAAATAGGCGTGTTATTTGCAGTAAGAAACAACATGTGGTCAATAGCACCAGCTCCGTCACCCTCACACACATCACCACCATCATCATCCTCACTATCACCAACACCATCGCTCCAAAATCACCATCATCACCGTCGTGTGCCAACAGGACGCCCTTCAATTGTCTCGGCGGGTGCTGCTGCGAGGCTTGTTCCGCCGGCAGGCCAGGGAAGCACCGTGAAAGCTCCAAGCTGGCTTTGGGGCTTTCGGCTTAAAGTGTTTCAGGGGTCGGAGATACGGAGTTTTAAACAAGTAGATAGTTCATTAGCGTTGCCAGAATACTTCGACCCCTGAGTACACCATAGCCGTTACCCCTACCCTCTAAACTCAAAGCACCGCTTTATTTAGCCCACAAACGAAATCCCAAACTCAAGCTTGTGAGCCGTGCAGCACGCGGGGGTGGAGAACGACATCCCCACCATCGTCCGATTATGGGCGCGGTAGCTCAGTGCAGGTAATTCTCCTGTATGATTATACCAGGGTCGGTATTTGGAAATTTTCGTGCTGATGAGTGATCGTCTATTGGCGTTGTGGTACTTCGAGGTACAAGCCGTATGTCCCAAAGCCCGAATCAATCCGTCATAGGCCCCAACGAGAAGGCATCACAGCAGGACTTTTCTAGCTTTTCAATCTCTTCCAGGTTTGGGTTCTTTAGTACGCCAAGCGAGGTTCTACACACACTAAGTATGTCCATACAAACCCTACTTATGGCTTTACTTACTGACTAAGTTCTCAGGGAAGTGTTTGCTACCA